TGGGACGGTCCCAGCAGCGCCCAGGGCCACGCCTCCCGCCAGTGTGCTCCCTCGAGAAGACTGTTAACGCGGGGGAGGAGCTGGGACGCCCTGCGCCCATGCTGGCCGGCGGGGCTGGCACCATGGAGGGGGGCTCTCTGAGCTGGGTCGGAGTCAGTGTCAGGTACCGCCACGCCCACATCCTGCCCTCCAGGCCCACTTTGTTCCAGGAAGGCCGGGCTGGGCACGGGCCCTGACTGCTGAATGGAGTCGCTGCCTCCCGACTCCTGCACCCCCACTCCTGTACTCCCACCCCTGACCCCTGCCCCTGCCCTCAGAGCGAGTCCTGGTGGATGCATCGGTGGGGAGCCTGTGGCCAGGTGGCTCCGAGAGGTGCGGCCGGGCTGGAATTGGGGCGGCTGGGCCCAGCGGGCGGCTGGGACACCCCTGCTTCGTGGAAGGCGGCGCTCACGGCCGAGGAGAGCGCAGGAGGCTGCCCAGCCTCACTGGCGTCCCTCCCGGGAGAGGTCGGCCTGACGTCTGCTGTCCCCTGAAACTGACATGGCATCCCCGTGCCGTGAGGGGGCTGGGTCCCGGCTTCCCATGTCCAGGACTTCCCTGCGGTGACTGGGACGGGACCGGACTGTAGAGGCCGTGTCGCAGCCTGTCCTCTGGCCGCTGGTCCCTCCCTCCTCACGGAAACCTGGGGAGAGGGGACCTGAGGTGAACTGCAGGGGCGGGGAGAGGAGAGGACGGGTGTTTTCTCAAGAGAGGAAATGAATGATTCTCTCCGGAAGGGAGAGAGGAGAGAGGAGAGGGAAGCAGCCCGGCCATGGGCGGGAGGGACGGGCGGGTGGACGCCGGCCAGCTGCCCTGAGGGGGGTGTCCCGCCCCTCAGCCGCCCTCTGTCCGGTCCGATCGCAGCGCTGATGTGTGCAGCCTCGGGCTGGCGTCTGGGAAAACAAAGGGGTCTGTTGAGTGGGTGCAGGGCAGACATCAAAGCTGGGTCCCCCTTTCCGCTCTGCTGGGGGCTCTTCAGGCCTTCCAAGTTGGCGCTAGCAAGTGTGACACAGTAACGGGGGCGTTTCCCCAGGCTGAGTGGGGGCCGTTGG